ACAAGTTTGTTTCGTCTGCCCCTATTCTGAATTTAATACCTGGAGAAAATGGTCACAGGTGGAGGAGTTTTGACAGCATTTGTTTTGACAGCAATATATTTCTAATAGACATAATATGTATCCAACACCACTGCTGATTTGACATCAAGTAAGCGGTCAAAATAACTTTAATGGTATTTAATAAAGAAGGCCTTTTGATCTGGTGATTTGTATAGGTTTGTTTTCTGAGAAATACTTGAGACAACGTTTGCGATATTGATCAAGTGAGTTATAAGATATAGCAAAGTAATCTTCTAATTCGGAGACTAGAAATAGATTATACTATAGCTACATGGGCAATTTTCAAATTGGCCAAGAACGTGAATGAATGTGACGTCGATATTGAAAATTGATTTGTTTTATCCATCACGTGAGCGCCAATATATTCTGTTCCAAAGCAAGAATACATGACGACTCCAAACCAAACGCAGTGGTAAGCTTTGAACTTAAAATATGCATTCTGGCTCATTAGCAATTAAAGTAATTTTGTACCCAGTTTTGTCGCCATCTCTGCAGCTGACCCAGCATTCTGCAAAGTGTCGTTAAGAGTTGCTTAAAGCAATGTCAGACAGAGTGTAATCTAAGTTATGAAGGCAAAAACTCGTTAAGCAGACGCAGTAGCGTTTGATTAATATGTTTGCGAATTTTAACAATGGCTTGTAAACAAACACCAAATACTGAGCTTCGAAAATTAGTCTTTGGCTGAAATCTAAGTATGTAATTTTAATCATTTGTTGAGAAAAGCAAAGTTTTGAAGTTACCATTTGAATTACGAAATAAGGGACGTGGTATTTGTCGATTTCTAGTATGATTAGGCTAACGTTATCAACATTGTCAACCAAAGATTTTAAACTCCTAAATTAATGAGACACATACATTTGGCGATTAGATTAAGGACCTAAGCTTGACGTTGTGGTGGCTAATCAGAAGAATGTTTCTTAATTCCTTATGCTTTGTCAAATTATTAATGCACAGATTGTGTGTGGTAGTTTTTGCGCTTGAAGAAGGTGTTTCATTTGCATGTCGTAGTGATGAGTATTAGTGAATTGTGTCATTTTCTCTAAAACAATGCGCTTGAGGTCTGGATCAGAATGAAGGCAATATTGTGTGCTATGAGGCATTCACCCCATTGATGGCTCAGAAAAGAGTCATCAAGCTAATAATTCAAGCTTAAGGACATGGGAAAGAGGCTATTCACAAAGTGTATTGCCTAAATCAACAGTCAACTGTGTATGTGCTTATTTTTGATCACGTAGCACAACCAAGCGAACCAGGCGGTGGAGATAAATTGTCATGGGAAGCAACAAAGAGGTCAAAACTGCTCTTAACTATATAATAATTCAAACTTTGCACTTCCAGTAACACATTGCAAAGATTGCTTTGTGACATTTTAGTGAAAATCACGAACACCGTTTTTTGGCAAACCGTTTTATCACGTTTTTCCTACTATGTGGCAATTGGTTCCATTATGTGTTTCAGACATAGAATTGATTTTATGAAAAAACCCAGGAAATACGTATGCAACGCACAAGCACCAACGAATCCGCATTCGTCACTGAATGTAATTCTAAATGTTTTTAATAGTCAAACAATAGAAGCTGGATAAGAAATGTCAATTATTTTACTACTTGGAACAATCAGCAACTATTAAATAAGCGCAGCTATTAGAGCGTGTTGGCATTAAGGAAAAAAATACAGGATATGCTCTCTATCAATTTAGCCAGAAATATTATTAACGAACTTAGGATAACAAAACTGAAGAAAGAAAAAACGGCAAGAGAGCAAAATCAAGTATTTAAGCACGTCTGAGGCTGAGGTTGCTTTTCGTTTTCATCCAGAATCCGCCATTTTGAAGTTATTTAGTGCAAGCAAAACGTTCAAAAGATGATTTTGCTTTCGGTATATTCCACTAGCTGTTTCCTTAATGTGGGATGAATAAGATGAAATTTGAAGGACTAGGATATATTTTGTCTTAAATGAAATACTTTTTAACTATATTGATGGATAATATTCCATCCTATGCTGGTGATAATGGAGTACTGAAGATAACATCTGAAACTTAAAGGGTTATCATGGAAGTGTAAGACTACACATGATGTTATAAGAAATGACAATGCACTGTTTTTTCTATCTAAGGCTTCCAAAAAATCAAAAGCCGAAGATTAAATATGGAGTTTGTTGCATTTTGAGGGAGGTGGAAACTAACACCGTAACATGTCATGAAGAAATATTGCATGTAATTAGCAGGAGAAATCTGCATTTCGAATGACAATACACTTGTTATTTGCCCAATATCAATGTCCCTTAATTTTTTGCTTATCTATTTAGTATAACTCGTTTAATGTCGCGAAATATTTTTCTTTACTACAATAGATTTTGCTCGTAAAAACACCTTATCGATATAGAGTGTGACGAGATTCCACGCCGCATTATTATCACGTCATTTCAGGACAAATGTCCGTTTAATAAAAACATTGTGCATTAGTGCTATTTTATTTCAAATTTTACGTCAGAAAGTGGTGGGATGGATTTGAGCACTTACATACTAAAACAACTCTTACCAGAATATCAGTAAAATTACAAAATAATAGCTGCTTTAAATGTCAAACTTTGCAGTTAAACTAAAAATTAGATGACGTTTTATCTTATCTCTGCACCTAAAAGTTGGCATAACCAAGCATGACATTTCAATGAGCAAATAAGTGTTTTTGCCGTATGTTTATTAGGCTACTCTACTAAATCCAGAAATTCGTTACTTTGTGCAAGTAGACTTTAAAAATGAAAAATTGTTAACTACCTAGAAACCATATTCATCTAGCACAAGGAATGATGCTAGCGAAAGTAAAATCTCATCGTTATTGATTAGTGCTACAAAACAAGTGTATAGGACAGCGATTGTGCTTCCGCCTAGAATGCATTCAGACTGCTAAATCAAGAAAAAAGACGTTTGGCATATTTGAGGATAGGGAAATTTATTTACAGAGACAGAAGCGTTATTTAATGGACATTACTGCAGCAGTAGAAATTATGGTCCCAAATGTGTGTTGCCTTGTGCTTGTTAGGTAATTCGCACTCTAAATACTGTATGTTTTAGCACACGCAACACGGATATTGTGTATATATTTCTACAGCCTCTAACGTAACAGTAATCGGGTAAAGTAAGCAATAGAGATCCACATATATTATCTTTGCAAAAAACAGCTGCAGATGAAACCAATGATAAACCGAATTTCAGCTGGTTGAAGTTTCATTACTCCAAACCAGTAACATGCCAGTTTGCTACCACGTGCATCACGCCATGTTTCTGGGTAGTGGCGACACCACCTAAATCATTGCAACAAATGCAGGAATATTAAGAGTTGTGTGACAAACGACTCAATTCTATTGGTGAACTAACATGTATAAAGCTATTTCGTCTTATATCTAGGACATAAAACGGCATCATGACCTTAAATCAGCAGTGATTCACAATGTCTAAAACTACAACTTATAAATCAAGCGAGATCCATTTGCATGTCAGCATTTGAACTGAACGGAAACAAGCTAACTAAAGAAATATTTAAAGCTGACTCAATCTTTACTAAATGAGAAAAAAACATTGCGTTTTAATTCAACAGTAGACTTTCACCTTTTCAATGACATTTTCTGCCACAACATTCTTCGAAGTCTGAGCATCCGAATATCATTCCTAACTGCACTATTTTTTTATTCACACGCAGAGTGCAGATAGGCATGTGATGAAGTCTCATTGCAAAGTCCGTCAATTTATTTTATTATTTCATATAGGACATTTATCGGTAAACATGTGAAGAATAAATGCAATTTCGATAATATCATCATTTAAAGAACATAACCATCCACATTGACATTCATAGTAAATCTGTTGTGAGTGGAGTTTTATAATTTTAGCTTGTTCTTGACGAAGTACGTTGTGGAGGGCAGTTTTCAACAATATGCGAAAAAAGCAATCAATAAATATTTTGCTGCCTTTGAAACTTATTTATTAGCACTTGACTTTGCAATGTCCATGGCCGGACTAGTGGGCTTTGGTTTTGTGTCGGCAGTTAATGTGGACATATATTCCTTCTGATAGTAGCCCAATGTCCTAACAAAACTAAAATATTATAACAGTAATGCCATATTATTATTATTATCGCCACGGTCTCACTGTTCACTTTTTTCCCCTTTATTAACAAAAAACGACCGTATAAACATGCCATGTTACACAATACAAACGACAAGATCTTAGTTTTTGACGGAAGACAATTCCCTTTACTATAGAATTCAAACAAAGTGTGTCTAGGTTTGGTAAAGCACCAATAACTTTGCCATATATTTACTCATATTTTCTTCACATTCCGCCACCATGTTACATTTCCCGTAAGATTGATTAACTACAGACGTGAAGAAAACAGCGCACGGCAAACAATGTCGAAAAGAACTAAAATACCGTAGAAAAAACAGGGTGTTTGCAACAGTTTGATAGCAGTGAGGCAAACACACATAATTCAGTTAGCACCATCTCGAAATTGTAACTTCAACAATTAGTACACGATCTACTGTCAGCGTGTCATATGCAACCACTAATAAAATGATGCCTCTAATGCAAAGCTGCATATTTAATACGGCATAAGGATTTTGGCAATTCCTTTTGTAAATAGTTACATGTTTTGCCATCACTTTGGATGGCGCAATTGTGCATAGTAATGCTGCAGTCTACAAAATTATTTTTCCAAAAAAATGTATTTCAGCCCCTGCAGCAGAGGTTGACGTCATATTTGTTTGCAAAAATGTATGCTCAGATGAACAGGATATATTTATTGGCAAGAAAATAACATTGAAAATTATAGATGAAGATATTTAAGAAATAATCAGCTGTCAAAATAAGTTGGTCGATAAAATCGGTGAAGTGGAGTATTTAATTTATTACGACGTCCAGGTGCACACTTGTCTCAGTGTCGTCATTTGGGCTTATAGAGTAGTCTGACACACTGATTTTGACTACACGAATATCCTGCAGGACATTCACTGCAAGAACGACCTGATGTGTAAGGCTTTTCCCCAACGTAATTTCCTCTAGGAAAAAAAAACCTTCATTGATATATTATTTTTACACAAGTACACAACTTCACAGGCACCCATCAGTCTGTCAGCGATCGTCACGCACAACAGTGAGTCATAAAATATTCTGTTATTCGGTGAATAAACTGCCACCAAGTTATATCCTGACTCACCCTGGAGCGTACTGACAAACCATGAGATAAACGGGTGGAGTCCATCCTGGCTCAAGGCTGTCACATCGCTGCATTGCACAGCCCAGAACCGTCGTCGACGCCCACACCATCTGTCAAATTCATTAAACCCAGATTAGTTGCGGCTGCTGCTGTTTAGAGGCTAATTGCCAAGCACTTCAACATTTGTTTACTAACAAATAAACATAAATCATATCTGCGCTTTTAAATGAAATGACTTTGCAAACAGCGGTACCTGTGTGTAGTGTCCACAAACGTAGGAGCAGTCGTTAGAAGAATAGGTGTAGTTTACCACCTCGTTGTACCAAGACTCAGCCATCTTCGTGAATGATTGTTTAGGGCCACTTTGCAGTGCAAGATTCTGTCCGATGCCTCTGTACTGCGGGTAGTAATCAGGATCGGGATGTTCCCATCGACACTGATCGGCCCACTGCATGGCTAATTTTTCCATCGTCAAGGAGTAGCCCTAGGTCAGACAAAAAGACTATCTTAAAAAATCCCCGGTTGGTTCACTTTTATGCACCCAAAATCGTCACATCATATGATTTTGCTGGTTTGCAAGTTCCAGGTTGGTTAACAGGTATGAGTGCATGTTTCTGACGTTTCCGTCTATCATTAACAGCTGCACGATCTTGTCAAGAAGCCGTCAAATTACTAAGTTGCCTCTTAAGGAGTCTCTGGTCGTAACATGTCAAAATAAGTACTTTAATAAGTGCATGAGATTTCGTCAGTTCATGGCATTTATTATTATTATTTACAACTGGCAATTTCACACGCACAATATTTCATATTTACCGGTAGTCGTAACAGAACAACGTGATGGAGAAGCCTAATAACACACACCATTCTCGCAAATCGGCTAACCATACTTAGCCCATTTACACACAGGCAGCTAAAACGAGGCATCATACGTACCATCAACTTCATGTTGCTGGCGGACGGTTGAACCCTTTGGCGTATTCGATTATGGTATTGAAGAATAGCACGGCGCTCGTCTGTTGTTGGCACCTGTGACATCACATAAGATGCCAAGAGTAGGATTCCGATTAGACGCTCCATGTTTCGTGCAGAGTCAAAATTATGTTCACACAGTCAACCACAATTCTACCGACGGTCCTCAGTCATGGCGTCGACATTATTTATTAGATTTTTTGCCCAATAGGCACACAAAGAGGAAGTTTTGATACCTTGCCGTCAACTCACCAGCAGACAACACAGTCATAAAAGAAAGAGCCTTTTTCGAAAACAAAACTTTTGATTGATGCTCAGCAACTCAAATTTGTCTAATTAGAAGAGCTGAGGCAATCGTGGTCACAATAAAATATGGCATGAAATTGATTAATCGTAAAAGCCCGTTTAATCCCTTCAATTTACTGCATATATTCCACGCCTGAATTGTAAAAACATTTTTTTTTCCTTCAAAAATTCATTGATGCGGAATGTGTTTGAAACAAAGAAGCAACACTTGGGCAAACCCGCAGTTACCAGTAAATTTGCATTTAATGTTAGTCCAATGCTACACCACCAATAGTGCTCAGTCTACCACACATAACCCTTGTCAATTCAGCTTGCAAAGGTGGTGGAGAAAATTTAATTATTAAATTACAAAGCAAACACCCTTGCTCATGCTTAGTACCATAATCTGACGATCCATTTATACTGCATGAATTAGGAGCTAATCAGCATGTAGCGCTGCCTATTTTAACAGTCTGTACCTGGATAAATTATTTGACTACAACTTCGTGCTACTAAACAACGGCAAATCGGACATTCATTTCAAATTGTCTTCAAATCACAGACAAACGATTTCGCACATTATATATCAATCCTTGAACTTTAGTACCTAAAGGAATATGAACTTAATGCAAAGTGATTTACTTAACTATAGTGACTCAGTTAGCACTACACAACTGATTATGTTTCATTGACGTTGTAATAAAGTGATTACACAGTTGTTGTTTAGACGTCAACTAAGGTTATTTCTTTTCATGTCACAGGAGCTCACTTTAAATTATAGACCTTGGACACGCTGCCCCATGTTTTTAAAATATTCCAAACTGATAGTCATTCACCATCTTCTAACTACACAAAACTTGGCCGCCATTACCAACGCATTCGCCTTCAAACTACGGTCAGTTTACTCATTTCCAGAACGCTGCAAATACTAGTACTGCTGTCAGGCTCTACAACTGAACACATTGACGCTTTTCGAAATATAACCAAGCTTCTTCTATTAACTGGTCAAACACTACTCGGAAATTCAAAAATAAAACTCTTCTTAGGTTAAGCAAATATAGTGGATTTTCAAAGTGTACTAAAGTAATCAGTTAAAAATGGCAGAAATAACACGTAGAAGTGCTAATCACCGAAATGTAGTAATTGGCAATTCTATAAGGCATTCACAACAGTGCCCACACAAAGTATCACAGCGGCGCCACCCAGCAAAACTTCCTTTGTGGACTAGAGTCTTGTTAGGCTTCTGAGTAGAGTGAAGAGATAAGTTCCTCACATCGACCTCGACTTCGTTTAGGACCACTTGGAGTGGCCAAAGACATTCCACACCTAGCATTTGTTACCAATTCAACAAAGATCTCTCATTCCTGCATTCGACACGCCAAATGGCTCACCTTAATTAATGTCATTTCTTGGTTATTCCATTCCATCAAGTTACAATTTCAATGTCATATTCAGGCATTGCGACACAAAATCAAACGATACCATCATCATATCAATATATACTGCGGCAAATCAGAATAAAAAGCTTCTGCATGGAGCATTGGATTCTAGTAGTTTCGAGCAATTTAGTTTTTGTTTCCTTCATGTGGGATATTAATTACCACGCTAGGGAAATCTGTGCAGGGTGAAAATAACGCCTATGAAACCTAAGCATGACATGTCTTTCAAAAATAAAATGGTTGACTACTTGCTCGTGTAGACAGTCCTTTGAGAGCAAAAAACAGAGTTTAATTAACTACGACGCTCACAACTAAGATCTCTTTTGAGCACAAATGTGATTCGCTTATTCACTAACATTGTGTGATTGCTCTGATCTTGATGCACTCGAATGCACCTATGTTTTGAAGGGTTTGAAAAAAACACTACTATTGGTCACAAAATGTCATTCAAAAGCGCTTTGTTCAAGGCTCAGCCCTAAATTTTCTGAAAGTCAGGTAAAAGTCATCTGCTAGCAGGATCTACAAATCATATTTCTCAAACACTAACCATACACGCTGTATCTTTTTAAGCACTTAGATAACTGTATCTTTTACACGTTCACTTAACTGTGTCAGTCAAAAAACACAGAATCAGGCACTGCCTGCGCTACACGCAAATGACAATATGTGTTTGTCCAGTAATCTGGCAGCGCTGGTCCTTATCCACTGCTGCTTGCCTAATCTTCGCCGATATCAGTGTGGTTTATGTCAACCTACCTGGACAAACAACATTAAAACAATTTTTTTGGCAAAAAGGAAACAAATAATCTTTGGTATATCTTCAATTATGCCGAAATTCCCAACGCCGCATGAACTAACTTAATTAATGTTATCCCACATTACTTTACTTCCACCAAAATAAAATTCATATATCGTGCTCGGATGTCTCAAATCTCATCAACAAGCTCAAAAACAAATCGGAGTGAAAGGAAATTGTTTTCAAGCTATGGCATTTCGAAACTTTCAGAAATGCACATGTTATTTCCTTAATGTGGGATGAGTAAGATGACAGTTGATGAACAACGACATCTTTGAGTTTAAATGAAGCTTCTTTTAACTGAGTAACGAAATATTGAAAATTTGTACTAATTTGTTAACGTTGGTTGGATTGCTTAGTAAGATTTATTAACTACAGATGTAAATAAATAGTGTACGGCAATGAGTGCCGAATAGAATAAAAATACGATAGAAGCCAATGAGGTGGTTTTCAGGAGTTTGATAGCAGTGAGGTAAACACACCTAATTCAGTTAGATTAATCGTTGAATTGTTAAGTCAAGAATTGGTACACGATCTACAGCCAGTTAGTGTATCAAATACTAGAACTCATAAAATGATGTCTCTAATTTAGAGCTGAATACGTGAAACGGCAGAATTATTTTATTGCTTCCTGTTTCTAACATTTGCAATTTGATACTACCAAGTGGTTTGTTTTATCCTCCTAATACTGCCTTTTATTTCTTCAACGATCTGGAGATAAAATCTCGAGACTTCATGGCATATTTGATAATTTTATTTGTTAGTTAAAACATTGTTTTTAGGCCCTAACCACGGTTCTGTACTTTTCATTTTAATGTCTACTGCGTTGGCTGCGGTGACATTCCTCAAATGTTAATTTGATTTTTCAGCAGAAGTGGTTACAGCACCTTTTAGTTCTCAGGTTATTATTACAAATACAATGAGGTAGTTTTAATCAGTACACGCGTACGCCATTAAATTATTTTTAAAAACAATCCTCTTTCACGCTCTAAAGAGATATCGTTTATATGATGAGAATTATGCAAAGGCTTTGTTCTGATTGTTATTTGAATCATTTCGCCTAACGGGACTGTCACAGCAGTGGTATACCTAACGCTTGAACAAGTAGTTTGATAGCTAAATCAAGTTTGTCACCACTGATAATTGCGGATTTGCCCAGGTGCTGCTTCTTTATTTCAAACACATTCCGCATCAATGAATTTTTGAAGGAAAAAAAAATGTTTTTACAATTCAGGCGTGGAATATATGCAGTA